TGAGATTTTAGGAAATTTGTAGAAGTGGAATTAGGGCAAATGGAGCTACAAGGGGCCCACAAGCTCAGGTGGCGCCCCATAGGGGTATGCCATGTGAGCTTGTGGCCCACTTGTATATATTTTGGCCTTCTCCCGAAGCTTCCAGGGTCCTTTCTGGCCTAGAAAAAATCATCGTAAAATTTTACCGCGTTTAGACTTCGTATGGTACTATTTTTCTGTGAAACAATAAAATAGGCAAAACAAGACCGACACTAGGCACTAGGTTAATAGGTTAGTTCCCAAAAATAATATAAAATTACATATAAAGCATACAAAATTGATAATATAATAGCATGAAACAATAAAAATTATATACACGTTGGAGACGTATCAATCCGCGTCGGAGGAAAAGCTGGAGAGAGGGGAAATGGTGGCGGGAGTTTTGCCGCTGCGTTCACTCTGCTTATATAGGGCAACCGAATCGGCAGGTGGTGACATGAAACCATCCCGCCACTTTTTCGGAGATGCGTGTGAGCTCCCACCATCCCCCTGCTCGCAGGAGGTTAGCGTCGTGTTCCCCCTCCTCTGCATCGCTCAAGTCTGGCTCACTAGAAACTGCCAATTCGGGTGTTCCTAGCGGGCCTGGCTAAGGATTGCTTTAAAGTTCATGTGGGCCAAGATTCTGTTGCGGGCCAGGCAACCAAATAGCCAGTTTTCTTTCCGGGCGGCCTGGCTGGGCCTAATGCGAGCAACCAAACACGCGAGATACTTTTCACTATGGCCAGCCTAACCATTAGAACCACGCTCAATTATGCTATGTGTGCATTTTTTAACATAATGACCATAGTAAAGTCTTTCTCATTGTACCGAGGAAGTAAGACGACGAGGGTTATCATCACATTTAATCTATGTACAACACATAGAAATGTAAATGCTTTAGGCTGGTCATAGTGTGGAGTAACTTATACTAGTGTCATGCATATGACACTACTCTAAATTATTACCTCCATAGTGTAAAGTAATATAATAGTAGTGTCATAGATGGCTTCATTTATTAACTTTTAAATTCATCTTCTCTTGGGAAGCGCTATGTTACAGTAACATACTGTATTATGTTACTCTAAACACATCTCTCCTCATTGAATACATGCCACATAACCAAACTCGTCTTCGACTGCGCTATGTTACTTGCTAAATTACTCCCACTATGACTAGACTTATAAGGACATCTGGACCAGCGACCCGCAAATTTTCTTCCGTATCCGTCCTTGGACAAGGGGGCCAAGTCCATGAATACGAATACAGAAGGTCGTCATCCAACGCTATCTTGTATATGTGCATCAGCAAATTCAAATCCAATTGTACTCCAATCCACACAGCGCGCCGGAACACACTAGCGCTGGATCGCATGCCCAATTACAACCAAAAAGAGGCAAGTATGCTTAGTTTTTACATGCTCAAATAAAAAGAACATCACTCCGGCAATCCGTGCATTTTTGCCCTGTCGGACCGGTAATCCCAGCCGTCTCCTCCCCGATCAAGGTGGTGTTGTCGCCGCGGCGTAGGCATCCTCCGCGTCCGTGTACGCCTCCTGTGGCGCCGCCGCCAACTGATCTTCTGCCGCTGCAACATTTGGTAGTGGACGGATTGCACGATGATTCTTCCGTCCGCATCCAAAGAGTCCACATTCAAGGTCAACATCTTGGCCTCCTTCGCATTGGCGGCGATCTTCACCTTCTTTTCCTCGAGTGCGGCCTTCCTCTCTTCGAGTTTGAGCTTCTTGTCCGTCACCTCCATCAACAATTTGAACCTCTCCTCCTTCTTGTCCTCCTTGATGTTCGAGTGCTTCACGCATGCCTCCTCCTTCTTCGCCAAGATGTAGTACGGAGGCTTGTAAGGCTCCGACCACGCCGTCCTCTGTATTGTGGGCGCGCCCGTCTGGCGGCGTCCGCCATGACCTCCACACCCAATGCCACCACCAGGCCCACCGGCGGCCAACCGCTTCTTGAGCTTCTACTCCTTTACGGCCTTTGCTTTGACGCAGTGAGTTTGCCGCGTAGCCGAACTGATCTTCCAGGCGAGCATGATGCTCGGATCCTCCGGCAGCTCTGTCGGCTCCATCTCTGACAAGTTCAATGCGTCAGCGGCTGAAGGAAGTCGAGACTGGGAGAAAAGAGCGGGAATTGGATGGAGAGCGGCAGGGATGGAAGAAGAGAGTGGGGGATTTTGGTGCGGAAATAATGCAGGATGCTCCTGAAGTGCGGGCTCCACTGTCCTTCTGGGTGGGCCAGGGGGCAGAGAGCGACGTTTCGCGTGTTCGGACTCCTGCAAAGCCCCCCACGTTTGTCTCCGGTTTGCAGGAGATACAGGACCGCGTTGGATTGCTTCCGCGGTCCGGACTGCGCAGTCCAAACGGACGCGGGCGGTTTGCGGGCCACCGTTAGAGATGCCCTAAACAGGTGTCATTTCAGAGCATCTACAGATGGATATGACAAATATGGCCCCTCAAACACCAGCGGACGCGCCCGGGCACGTCCGCGGGCAGCCCAAATCAGCACAACTGCATCCGGACAACTCATACTGGATTCTCATATCCATACAAAAGCATGCAAACTTAAAAACCTACGTACTACGTAGCTACTCCTCATTGGAGATGTCAACAATCTTCGTGCCCGGCTGCGGGTACATGGGCGGTAGCTGCAGCTCCGATGCCTCCGGCTGCTCCGCTCCGGCGTCCTCCTCCTATATCTCCACGTCAAGTTCGACGAAGAACGCGTCGAACGCCGCCTACTTTTGCCGAAGGAACTGCCGATTGACCTCTAGGCTTCATCCTGGATGGACTCTAGGATGGCCTCTGCCACGCCATCTCCACGGTTTGGGCGACGGCGAACTCTGTCTCTGCCTCCGCCATGATGAACTCTGGAGCAGGCTGCTACGCCTCCTCTTCCTCCAGACCCGCCACCTCGATTGGCTCCGGCAGCGGCTCTCCCTTCTCCGGAGGCGTTTGTGGCCGGTTTGGGACGCCTGAGTGTAGATGCTCTTGCCAGTACGTTTAGGACACACATGATCACCCTAAAAATCTGCCGGTGGCCGGTTTGAGACGTCTGAGTGTAGATGCTCTCGCCAGTACGATTTAGGACACACATGATCACCCTAGAAATCTGTCGGTCATCAGAGCCTTCACACTGGTGTGCAGGTACGGCGAACCAGTATTCCTTTTAGCTGCTGTGAGCCGAGGTGAACACAAACACAGGAAAAGGGTATGCTTGGCTGATGTCCTACCTAGCAGACCGCAGCTTCCACTCTGAGCCGTCCATGGCTACGGGACAACCAACAAGGAACAACGGCAAGTAGGAAGGACGGTGGTACATTTTTAGCTAGGCTTGCTATTTATACTGATGACGTGACGGTCGATTAGATCAAAGAAAGATTCCCATTACTTTACATAGTAGCAAGTTGGACTTGCCCCATAACCATAATAATGCTGTCGAACAACCGGCACATGATCTCACCTTCCATTCCAGGACCCGTCCGCTCGGGAAGAACAAGAGAGTTAAGCACGGAACAAACTCCGGCTCCTACGTGCGGATTTCCCCCTGCCTTGCACAAGCTGCGTGCCCAAATACTTGGCGTGCAGGAAGGACTATGCCCGGCGAGAGAAACATGCTTCTTGTTGGCTGGCTGCAGCTGTCCAGCACAAGCTTACCGCTTACATAACCGTCAGAAAGCGACCATTTAGGCCCGAGCACTGCTATGCAGACGATGTTTTGAAGACGATTTGTGTACGACAACTAAATCAAGCCGTCCATGCATATGACTAAAGTGGGGCCAACGGATGGATTAGCCATCGTTTCCTTGTCGTGCAGGCTGTGCGTCGTCCGCACAGCAGTTTCGTTTAGGCCCGTCAGGACAAGGACGCTCAACACGCCGAGAGCAAAGACGGGGGCGCGGTCAAAATCCGGTGGCTGCTAATTTATTTATGTAGGAGTATTTATAAGAATGGTTTGCCGTGACTGATTGATTTACAATTTGTCTAATTCACATCTAGATACTTTTTAAGAATGTCACATCTAACCTTTCACAAATAAAACAGCAACAAAGAACATAAAAATAAGCTGGGACAAAAAAAATAGACCACAAACATTGAAGATCGGGTTAGATGTGACATAACTATGTCACATCTAGATGTGTCCTAAATAGACCCATTGATTTAATGGAGTGCTCGCACACCATAGCTTTCTATTGCACACACAGGCTGTTGTTTTCTCCGGGAAAAGGATACCGACTTTGTTCCGGGAAAATGATACTATCGGAATTGCTACGGTATTCCTCTAAGATAGACTTGACTATGATTGTATGATTGCCCTCTGCGTCATCTAATCAGGAGTAGACTTTGGCTGCTGTGATTGCACGTTTGGACTCTTACCTAATCTGACGCTGATATACATACACCCTTGCTGTACTCCGTGGCAACCAACTGCCTACAGCTCAGCCCCACCAAGAGAAGTTCGTAAAGCGATCGATCTATCGATCGTGTGTTTGAGACTTGCAAGGAACAAGTGGGCCAAATGCCTGATTGGCTGGATAATCGGCGGTGACCACAACAGGTCCCGCGATGCACTTCATTCTAGCTATTTTTTTAGAGTATTTTTTATGTATCCTACAAGAGTCGTGAGCTCTAGTGTGTAATTCGTTCAAACAACGACGTAGAAAGAGACGGGGAAGGAGAAGCAACGCATTACTTCCGTCCAAGAAATACTCCACCTGTTTATTACGGCACCGTTCAGAGAATTTTTACTTCTAGGAGTATTATATTTTCCTCATAATAATACACACATGAACACAAGAATGGTAAGTAGGCCCCGGCTCTCGGTGTCCCATCAGCGAATCACGAGCGCCATGTGGAATTTACAGCTCACCCATCTGCACAAGATTATTTCCCGTCATATTATTCTTTCTTGAAGATTATGAACATTATCTCGTCCGATCTCGCCTGCTGCTCTCACCACCAGAGGCGCGCATCACACATCGGACGACCTGTACTTGTACACGTGGAAGCTCGCCTGCGGCGCCACAGCGGCCAGGAAGACCCTGGCCGTCGCCTCCTGCGCCGCCACCGCCCCCTCCTTCTCTACCAGCGCTGCCGCCACCACATCGCCGGCGGAGCCGCCGGAGGCGGCAATCATCGCAATGATGGCCGTCTGCACGGGGCCCAGCGTCGGGTTGTACGCCGCGGACTCCAGGCAGCCCCCGGCGTACACCTTCCCTTCACCGTCCGCCACCGCGAACCCCGACGGGCACCCGCTGTACGGCGCGTGCGCCGCGCGCGCCGCCGCCTCCGCGGCATCCTTCAGGCGCCCCTCCAGGTCGCCGGCGGCGAAGCCATTGGCGGCGGCGTCAACGGGATCGCCGAGACGGTTGTCGTGCGGCTCGAGGACGAGGGGGGCGTCCTTGGGGAGGAGGTCGTGGGGGCCGAAGGGGCGGGGCAGGAGCGACGCCAGCGAGCGCCACTCGGCCGCGCAGCCGTCGGCGGCGTCGGAGGTCACCAGGATGCGGATCCCGGCGGCGCCGCGGATCTCCTGGAGGAACTGCCGGCAGTGGCCGCAGGGCATGTGGGAGACGGCGATGGCGCGGAGCGCGGGCTCCCCGGCGGCAGCGGCGTTGGCGATGAGGAACTGCTCGGCGTGGACCGCCTGGGAGAGAGGGGCGCCGACGAACTCGAGGTTCACGCCGGCGTAGACGCGCCCGCTCTCGCCCAGCCCGACGGCGCCCACGGGGAACCGCGAGATCGGGGGGCGCGCGCGCCGCATCGCGGAAGGGATCAGCAGGGGCAGCAGGTCCTCCACCGTCTCCACGCCGGCCGCCGCGGCCGCGCGCTCCGCCTCGTCGGCGCTCATCACAAATCCTGGCAGCTCGACGGCCTCGGGCTTCGCCGTCATCCTCTCCTCCCCCATTGCTCAGATCTAACTCGAAACTGTGTTGTCACTCTATGATTTTTTTTCCTGCCTTGTATAATCGTACTTGGCCGCTTGAGATGGAGGGAGCGCTTGGATGTTTCCTCAAAGAGTGGAGGAGAGGAAGAGCGGGGGAGGGGGAAACTCGGTGGTGGTAGCGTGTGGGTATTTATAACGGACACACATCCGTCTGCTTTGTTGTTGCTGTTTTTTCTCTTTTGCCAGGGCTTCGCTTCCTTTCTCTCTTTTCAGTCTTTTGCAACGATGGGCACAGATAATTATCGTCCGCTGGACGTGTCATGGTGCAATCTTTTGCAGCTGAACGAAAGTGGTTTGGATGGCAAGTGGCCACACAAGTATTGCTAGCTGAGGATCACAAAATTAAATCCGAGACAATATGTCATCAGATGGTTTCAAATCAAGGTAGCCAACTCGATCTTAATCCATTTCTTTTCTAAAAGCTATTTACATGTGTGCTAAAAAAAAGAACAATGTTTCAAGATATTGGTCAATCATGACAGATGATGTTCAATCAGCTGATCCCAAGGATCCCGCAATTGCTAGCCTGTACCAAATGAGAAGTGGAAGGCGTTGGATTTTATGGACCTTGACCTGTTAAATCTTGTATCTCATTCTAATTAAAATTTGCAAAGTACGATTACAGAAGTGGAAGCGGTCGCCGCTCAGGACCTTGATTTGCGAAGTCGAAGCAGTTGCCCCTCAGGGCCGCTCCAGCGGCGCGACGCATTCATGTAGGATGTAGCCTCACAGCATGGTTAATAGTATAGCCAGCTGCTCGCTATATGAAACTTTCATGTCATATATAGTCATCATTCGTATTCACTCATACTCCCTCCATTCCACAATGTAGTGCTTCCTCTATCCTCGTGCTTCAACTTTGACCGCAAATTTAACTACCAGGACCGATTGCGGCGGGAGCAAAAATTATATCAGTGAATTCGTATTCAAAAGAAGTTTTTAATTATATATTTTTTTCTCCCGCTGCAGTTGGTCTCGTTGGTTAAATTTATGGTCAAAGTTGGACCTCGGGAAGTGTGGGCGCACTATATTTTGGAATGGAGGGAGTATAATAGTGTGGGCTATAAGCTTGGTTATTACATTAAGGATGGGGTGTTGACCCGTTGGCTGGGCAGCTGGGGTTGCTGCCAGCCCATCCGAGTTCGAGTCCCGTTTCAGATGCAGGTGCTCACGGAGTTTCTCCTATAAAAAAAATGCCAACGAAGGTTAGCCCTTGGGTTGGTCTCTTTTTTTTAGGTTGGTTATTACATTAGTATCTTTTTCTATCTTCTCTCTTTTTTTTTCTTCACATTAATTGTATTTGCCTAGGAACACATATAGCTGGGCTCTTGCATGAAAGCCTACTCCCCTTACTTTTTCACATATCTTTTCTCCACATAAACAAAAGTGCCACGTAAGCGGGCTATAAGCCCACTATTGTACTTGCTCTCAAAGCAGGTACGACCTTTCACTAGTGTCGGCATTGAAGAGGCATGCCTCCTGAGAGCATCGATTTCTACTTGGAGTAGGCGGATATCTGTTGCATTCAAACAGGCTACCCATTTGTCCGCCTACTAACATTAAACCAGAACGCGAGCCAAGAAATCCACTCCGGCGTCCTCATTGACACAACCCGCTGCTTTGCCTGGCCGGCATCCGCTATTTAAATGCGGTCACACCCAACACAAACTGCACCACACCACGTCCTGCTTTAAATCCTCCTTCATGCACCACCTCCACCATGATCGCAAGCTCTAGGGCATTGCAACAGAACCTCCGACGACGACCCAACGATGGAGAGGGCCTCCAACCACGAGCTGACTCCCCTGCCCGCGTTGTTCCATGCTAGCTTGGCCATGGAGCACGAACATGCGTACTTTCACGCCATCATAGCGGAGGAGCAGTCGACGCCGCAACCAGTGTCGGCGTTCTGGCAGGTGCAAGAGGAGCAGTGGTACAACCTCTCCCTCCTCGCGTGTCACTGGCTGGTGGATGGCCAAATCTACAGCGAGTTCGCGAGCGAGTAGGCAATGCCCACGGAGAACCCCAACTTCGTCCTCGAGCAACGGGCCTTGTATGAGGCCGAGCGCGCTCGCGCCGGCTACACCGCGATCGTGACGCCCTCGAACACAGAGGCGGTGCAAGCCTTCGCGGAAGAGAACGCCAACAACTGCGTGTCGTTTGCGTCGCCAATTGTACAGCATTCACGCCACTATGACCAAAAGACCGGCACGTCCACGTCCATCATTAACCTCACCTCCGCCAGCGAAGGCCGGGTCCATGTCCTACATTTTTCTCGTTGAAGACCACACCTTGACGTCGCAGGTCCCGCGACTGTCGGGCATGGGTGCGGAAGGGAACAACAAGGACTTGGACAATAGGCGCCGGCGAAGAATTAGAGTAGATTAGGGTCTAGAGGCGTTTTTTCATCAAATATGCTGAAAATGAAATGAATGTGGTATGGTTTAAATGAAAATCATCCGATCCGCATGAAAATGTCTGGTTCGGTCAAAATCGCTTTGAAATGTATGGGGCAAAATTGGATGGTCGGATCCCGTATCACTATCCGCGGACGCATCGCACACGGATACATGTCTGTTTTACGTGTCAGCGTTGGAGATGCCCATAGAGCATTTGCAATAGATGATGTAAAATTTGGAGTCCCAAATAGTTTGAGGATAGAAGAGAGAAAGGTTTTGTGCACTAGAAAAGCTTAGGACTAGTGCCGTAAAATTTGGAGAGCAATTGAAACATGATATCCAACGGTGCAGAGACAGGGAGATGGATCTAACGATCATCGGTTATCGAGTTCGATTTTGGCCGACGGAGGTTGTCAGAGGCTGAGGAATGGCGGAGGACGTGGTAGGGGCTGGATATGGGAGCCGAGGGTTGCGTCCAAATCCATCATAAGTGGATCGATTTGTTGGTTAATTTAGATTTTGTCAATGGAGGAGAACCTTAAGACCATTGTGGGTGCAAGCTTCACCAGGCCAGAGCTAAGAATGTGTTTCTTTTGATGGCATAGACAATGAGAGAAGATTTTATGGTTGTGCTATGCATGCAATTTTTCCTTGCTTTGTTGTTTTAATACTTTGCTTTGTAACTAAATTTAACTGAATCTTTTTGTTGAAGATGTTAATAAAAAGATTGCAGTTTCAGTATGTAGCTATCTCATTTCACTGTGTAGTTATCCGTGTACTGACTAGTTATACGAATTTCACTGAATCTTGTTCATTTTGTAGTAAATACTAACTGAACTAACTAAATCTTGTTGTTGTTAAAGTTTAGTCTGTAGTTAAGTGAACCTGAATTTAATTGAATGTTGTTGTTCAAGTTCAGTCTGTCGTTAAGTGAATTTAAATTGTACTATCAATGTGCAGTTATCTGGACTTTGCAGTTGTTAATTTAACTGAATATTTGGGAGATGTTTAATGCAACTGAATTTAAGATAATCTTACTACTACTAAAGTCCAGTTAGTAGTTGAAGAAATCTAAATTTAATTAAATATTGTTGTTTAAGTTGAGTTTGTAGTTAAGTGAATCTGGATTGTACTATCAAAGTGTAGTTATCTATACTTTGTCAGTGTGTAGTTGTTAAATCTTAATGTTGTACCACATTGAAATTGTGATGTGAATTCAACTATTATTTACAGGGAGTTCTAGACTATAGAGTGGTTGATTGGGTCGATGGGCCATGGACCGTCATACTACAAAGGTGTGTGACAAAACTTTGGAAGATGTTTCATGAGGGGATTAGAGGAGAGACCTCGAATGGATAGGTCCAGTGAGGCGGGTGTGGAGCACGAAGGATTAAGAAGGTCCTCTTTATTTCTGAAATCTACAAGAAAGACTTAGCAGCCCAAATAAAGTAACTGACATAGGGTGACTAACAGATAGGCTTATGAGAGAGAGCTAGCCAAGCTTAAGATGCATAATTAGTTCCTGTGCAATTAGTATAGTGATCTTGTTGCAGAAGTTGGCAAGTTATTTGAATGGCAAGATGAAAAGGGGTAGTAGATGGACTATGAGAAGTCAGCTAAAGATGTGAAGAAAAAGATGGAACACGTAGAGGAGCAGTGTAAGATGGAGGTGAAGATGAAGAAGCTCGCAAAGGAGCAAAGGTCTATCCTTTCTTTTTAGGAAAATATCATCGGGAACACCAGGAAGACCATGAAGGAGGTCAAGGAGGATAGGGATTTTATTCAAGAGAAGAAGGTGGAGTTTCTGACTGGCGACCTGCTAAAAGTTGGGCATGGCAGCAAAAAGATCAAGCTCATCCTAGAGGAATGAAGTGGATTTAAGCATATATTAGGCCCATATATATAACACGACATGGAAGCTAATGATGTTATTGGTATATTTCATAGATCTACTTATCTTAGTTGTAATACCTAATGCAAACATGGTGGTTACTAAATTCTATATTATGGATACTAAGTTGTGAATTCTATATTATGCTAGTGAGCTATGATGATAACTTCCTCTTAGACTCTTCTAATGTATGGTTACTAAACTTTGAACTCTATATTATGCTAGTGAGCACTAGTACAACGAGGTGCTATACAAACGGTTTTTAACCCCTTTTTGCGACGACATTTGGAACCGTCGCCAAGTGAGTGTGGGCGATAGGGGGGTCCTTCCCACACGACCCAAAAACTGTCGGGGATAGGCCCTCCTGGGACACAGGCTGGGGAAAAATGTGAAGCAAATATGCTCTAGAGGCAATAATAAAGTTGTTATTCCTTATATCATGATAAATGCTTATTATTCATGCTAGAATTGTATTAACCGAAAACTTGATACATGTGTGGATACATATACAAAACACCGTTTCCCTCGTAAGCCTCTACTAGACTAGCTCGTTAATCAAAGACGGTCAAGTTTCCTAACCATGGACAAGAGTTGTCATTTGATAACGGGATCACATCATTAGGAGAATGATGTGATGGACAAGACCCATCTGTTAGCTTAGAATAATGATC